CTTGTGGGAAGGGAGAGACACGTGTAGCATGCGGAAAGGGAAAGACCCGTGCGACTTGGAAGGGAAGGGAGAGACCCGTGTAAGATGTGGGCAGGGAAGGACCCGTGTGGCTTGAGGGAAGACGGAAATGCGTGTAGCTTGAGGGTAGGCAAAGGCAGAGGTAGCTTGTGGGAAGGGAAAGACACGTGTAGCATGAGGGAAGAGAGCTGGGCTGGACCTGGTGTCCCCCATCCTCCCCCCTTGTTGAGACCAGCAGTTATTTGTGGATTGTTTTACTAGCTTTTCTGTTCTATCAATGGGGCTGGGAGTCATCTGAATGCGGGTAATTTCAGGGCAAGGAAGGACACAGGTAGAGCTTGTGGGAAGGGAAAGACACAGGTAACTTGAGGGCAAGCGGCTGGGCTTGGTGTCTCCCCCCCCCTTCACCTCCTTCCCTTCTTTTGGTTATTTGGGGGTTATTTTATTCTGATTAGGGTTGTTTTTTTTTTGTTATATGGGGCTGGGAGTCGTCTGAATGGCTTTTCCTCCCCCCCCCTCAAAGATACCTGTAACTTGAATGAAGGCGGTTGGGGTGGGCTTGGTGTCCCCCCTTCCCCTTTCCTCTTTTTCCTCTCCCCCTTTTTTTGAGACTTTTCTTTATTTGGGGAACGAGTCTTTATATGAATGATTGATTATTATATAGTGGCATTATTTTCGGAGCCTCCTGTCCCCCCCCTTTAATCTTTTTCACGCTTTTTTTGCCCCTCTTTTTTTATCTCCTCCCCCTCCCACCTGCAGAGTTGGGTTCATACAGACACCCCCCCCAACCCGGGTCTTCTGGGGACACGTGATCTGACTCAGCCTGCCCCCCCCCCCCAGATTTCCCACAGCTTCTGCAGCCAAGAAAACTGGGGTTCCTTTTAGTCCGGTGGGCTTCCAGCCTTCCCTCCCCACGGATGGAGCCCCTGCCTGGCTGTTGCTCCTTCCCATTTTGCCCCCTCCCCACCCTAGGTATCGATACCCATAATCCTTGGCTGCCAGCCAAGAATTGGGGGGGGGAACCCCGGCGAGCACCAAACGCCATTCAGCAGCACGCTACTCCTGACCATGGAGGCTCTGACCTTGGGGGACACTTTTGGAAGTTGCCCCTTCCCTTTTCCAGCCCGTGGCATCGAGGAAGATAGCCCTGGGGTTTTTATTTTATATTTTTAATATTATATTACACCAGCCCTTGACTTAACGGCCACAACTGAGCCTTGACATTTCCGTTGCTAAGCAAGACAGTTCAGTGTGTTTTGCCCCCGTTTTGCGACCTTCCTTGCCACGGTGGTTAAGT